GACCAATGGAGTATCTTAGATGGCTGCTCACAGGCTTTTAAGACCCCAGATGCTACTCACCAAGGTAGAATGTAGAACATTGTCTTTATAAACTGTTATGCCAGTTGAGCTAGATGTTCCCCGAGACCACCTGAATCTCTTTATCTGCCTTCCCCCACAGCTGTTGAGAATGTGTGCCTAGCTCACTACAAAACCTCTTGTGTAAGTTGGATTGTCTAGGTCTGCCTTTCAGGTCCTCTCAGATGCACCTTCCCCTATTAGGTGAGACCTTCTCTAGGGCTGAGGCTCTTCTTGCTTTCCTGTATGGTATATACCCCAGGCCTAGGTTTAATACTCGGGAAGCCCTTTGTCGATCGTTCGTGAATTAGCCTTTTTTTTTTTTTTTTTTTATCCTCCTACTCCAATTATAGAAACAATTAAGAAAATACAAAATGCATTTTAGAAGACATAAGAAAGGAAAACAAGCCATTGTTGACTCACTGCTCAACAAGTACCAATTGAGAACCTACTGTGTGTTCTGCTCTATGCTGGGACCTGGGGTCAGAGGGCTTGAGGCTCGTTCCCAGGTCCCGGGAGCTTCCAGCTTTGGCGGAGACAAAGTGTAAAGAGACCACTTCAGGGTAATGTAATTGCTGGGGATGAACGGATGTACTTGGTTTTATGGGAGTCTAACATCTTCAGATCTCGAAGTACTTGCTGCCATTGCTGCTGCTTCTTATTTTTTAAACTGGGAAGACCTTGGCTGGACTAATTTCCTAAGCATAAATGTGAATGTGTGGACACTCTGTTGCTCAGATTAGAAGGAAAGCAGGGAACAAAACATATCAGGAGTTACTTTGCCTCTGCAAGCTACATTGTTCCGAGTTCTTTACTCTGCATTTACACCACTGCATAGGAGCTGGGTTTGGTGAAAATAGGTGGCAAAAAGCGGAGGTTCCTGAGCAACTGGCCATCCATGAGGTGGGAGCTGCTCTTACGGAGGAGAGGGCTGGCCCCTTGCGGTCCGTAGTGGTTCTACTGGTCACAGAAGTCACTTCCCAGATGAACTCAGGTCACCTTCTTTATCACAAGCGATAGCTGGAATCCGTCCTAAGAAACCTCCAGACATTCAACTTGCATCAAACAACTGTTTTAATGGGGCAAAAGGGTTAAGTGTTTCAGATTTGCACCAAGTTACCTTTTTGTGTAGGAATTTAAATCTTAAAGGTATTTTTTATTTCAAACAAACCATGAAACCCATCATACCTAGTTATAAGACTTGGACACTCTTGAATCTATTACGCAGTTTATTACATCTGGCTCTTGCCCAAGACTGGGGGTTCAAAATCTTTTTTTTTGGTGCCATAGGCCTTGTGAACAGTCTGATGAAGCACATAGACCTTCTCAGAATTTATGTTTTAATGCATAAAATACAATACGTAGGATGGTAAAGAAAAACAATTATATTGAAATAGTTATCAAAATATTTTTAAAGCAGGTTTGTTATGTAGTAATACAGTCATGCATTGCTTAAAGTCCACGATAGTTCTGTGAAATAGGACATTATGTGATTCGTACGTTGGGCAAACACCGTATTATATACAGACAGTCCTCAGATTATGAACGAGTTCCATTTCTAAGTCTGTCTTTAAGCTGAATTTGTATGTAAGTTGGAAAAGTTACGTACAGTTCATATCTAACATCAGTTAGTCATATGTTTTAGTATGTAGTATATATATAGCAGTGGGGAGACTTGGTGGTGCAGTGGTTAAGAGCTCAGCTGCTAACCAAAAGGTCGGCAGTTCGAATCCACCAGCTGCTCCTTGGAAACCCTATGGAGCAGTTCTACTCTGTCCTGTAGGGTTGCTATGAGTCGGAATCTACTCAGTGGCAACCGGTGTATAGCAGTGGTTAAGTGCTTGACTGCTAACCAAAAGGTTGGTGATTCAAACCTACCAGCCTCTCTTCAGGAGAAAGATGTGGCAATCTACTTCCGTAAAGATTTACTCCCTTGGAAACCCTACAGTGCAATTCTGCTCTGTCCTATAGAATCACTATTGAGTCGGAATCGACTCCACAGCAGTGGGTTTGATTTGGCTTTGGTACCTTTCTATGCATAAAAAACAGTAAAGAAACACTTCCAGATACAGTAAAACATCTTTAACATAATAATACAATAATAATAAGAATGTTTTGATGTGCATTGCAAAATAGCACACGTTTGTTATTACAAACCATTGTATGTACCTTGAATTTTTAATACAGTAGGCTTTACGAGGGTTGGTTCATAACTATGGGTTATTGGACATTCTTAACCCAGGGACTGCCTGAATAACCTTACGGGACCATGGACGTATATGTGGTTGGATGTTGGCCGAATGGATGTTAATGCCATACATGACTGTACTGTGCTTCTTTATTACTACATTAAACAATAAAGTCTAATAGCAGGTCTAACAACTACTATAATTTCTAAATAAATGATATTTTAAGATGTCTGCAGCAACTCTAATGGGATATAAAAGTGTCTGAATTCTGTTGGGGGCAAAGTCCGAGAAATAGATAATACTACACTGGTTTGTAGTTTACTTTCATTATGGAAGAAGATGCTAAATTTCAGGTAAAGGTTAGTAAAAATAATGATGAAATTTTTTTTCCTGTCCAAGTTGACAGATTTCCTGAATTCTTTTTGTGAACCCCAGATTAAGAACCACTATAATGATTCCTTTCTCTTGTCCACACCCGCACTACCTGTAGCTGGCTTCTTATTTATTCTTATCACATTGTTATGATAAATGGCACAGGGCTGCTTAAACAACACAGCTGTGTTACCTGTGTGGCAGTATTCCCCCCTTATGATAAGAGTGGTCTGTTAATGCAAATCTTGGTGTCTAATTTGCAGATTCAGTTATATCCAGAAGGAGAAAGCCTACACCACCAAAGGCTTTGCAAAACCCTCTTGCTTAGCAAATCCTTAGCACTGATTCATTTTTTCTCTTTATCCTGCTCCCAATAGCTTTCCTTCTCCCAGCAATGACCCCTCCCCCTAATCCAGAATGGTAGCAGAAGGGAGGTTGGCCAGGTGGGAAATATGGTTAGTAATGTGACAAGATATTGAGCCACTTGCAGAGAGAAAATTACAAAGTGAGCTGTACAGTTGAAGAAACATTTCTGACAATATTTCTAGTACCTCGGAATTTGTTTTCTCCATACATACGTACAATCCACCCTGTATTGTGGATTGACCACCTTTTCATTTAGCTGAATCCTTTCTGAACCTTCTTTTTTCTCTAATAGAGGCTGGCCAAGGAGGGTGGTGGCGGTTCAGTGGTAGAATTCTCACCTTCCATATGGGAGACCCCATGTTCGATTCCCGGCCAGTATACCTCATGCACAGCTACCACTCACCTATCAGTGGAGGCTTGTGTGTTGCTGTGATGCTGAACAGGTTTCAGTGGAGATTCCTGACTAAGACAGACTGGGAAGAAAGGCCTGGCGATCTACTTCTGAAAATCAGCCAATGTAAACCCTATGGAGCACAATGGTTCGATCCCATTGTACATGGGGTCGCCATGAATGTTAACAGCAGTTAACAACAACAGATGACTGGCTGGCAGAGAGTGGCTGGAGCAATATTCCAGGATCTCTGACCGAGAGCACTGTGAGAGGGGTGGTACAAACTGCAGAACCAGCTGAGACAGGCAGTGTCCACACTGAATCCTTTCAAAAGATACCCTCGCATTACTTTTGGCCCCTCCAAAGGAGTGAGTGAAGGAGGGGGAGGAATTCGGAGGGTGGATGTAGGTGAGAAATTGGGCTTTTAAATTCCTTTTTCTAATACTATGCTCACCTCATTTTCTGTCTTCTGTCAAGGTGGATCTTGAACTTGGCTTGAAATGCTTGCTTGAAATGTTGTCGGGCTTTGAAAATATTCATATGAAAGTAATTTACTCCAAAGGGCATAGACATTTGTTGTTGGGTCTTTACAGAACTAGTTATCAACCTTTGTTGTCGAGGTTTTTGGAGACAGCGGTTGATGCCAAATGGCTCTTGCTTGAAGACCCAAGATGTGTCTCCACGTGAATCCCCTGGGAAATGTTGGTTATTTATCATCTAAGTAATTGTTCCCAGAGCATTACCACAAATTGAATGTCTTTCTATTCTGATTATAGATGTTCAGGTTTTTGTTTTTGTTTTTTTTTTTTTAATCCCCTGAATAGAGCAAAATGTTTCTATGTAAAAAAAAACTTTGGCAAGAGAAAGCTGAAACTAGATCTGCTGAGTGACTGTGACATCAGATTCTTCAATGTTGTATCTAAAGATAGTCTACTTTTAATTATCCGTACTAACGAGAGGGCGGTGGTGTGGGAAATCCCCAAATGATTGTGTTTGGTTTTAGAATATATGTTTTGTGCTTGATCTTAAGGTGGGTATGTCTAATGGAATAAATGATGGTCTAAATACATTATATTTTTAAGACTTGACTCATAAGGAATACCATCTGGGTTCACTTTCCTGGTCTTTCTGTTTAGGATTTTTCCTCTTTTACCCAGGAGGCAGTTTACCCGCACCTCTTACCCTCTTCCTTCCAGCCCCTCACCGACAATATGTACCAATCAGAACAGAGCTGTACTTTCTCTATGAAATCACCCAAGCCGTATCACACACTTGGAGAAAGTATAATTTTAGTTTTGTGCTCTGTAGGAGAAAGATGTGGTAGTCTGCTTCCGTAAGCAGACTTCTTATCAAGCGATAGTGTAACAGTTAAGAGCAGAGTCCCTGGAGCAAATAACCTGTATTTGAATTCCACTCTGTCACATATTAGCTCTGTGACCTTGGGAGAGTTACATAATTTCTCTGTGCTCAGTTTCCTCATCAGCAAAATGGAGATAATAGTACCTACCTCATAGGGTGTTTTGAAGATTAGCACTGTATTTTTAGACAAATAATGTGTGCCTTCTGTGTTTGTTTACTGGCCACCCCCTCCCCCTATGAAGAGCAACCTCATAAGCACCGCTGTGCCAGTCATCTTCCAAATGTTGCTGTAAAAAGATTAGCGTAGCATGCTTAAGAAAATACCTCTTGGGGTAGGGTGAGGCTGGCAAACAAATGCAGAAGGTGCACATTATTTGTGTAAAAATACAGTATTTGTAAAGCACTCAGAACTGTATCTGACATATAGTAAGTGTACATGTGTTTGCTGCTATTATTTAATGTAAATCATTTTTTTTACATTGTTTAAAATTTTTTATTGTGATAAAATATATATATAACTTAAAATTTACCATTTTAACCATTTTTAAGTATACAGTTTAGTGGCATTAATTATATTCACAATATTGTGCAACTTTTTCATCACCTCAAACAGAAACTCTGTAACCATTAAGCAGTAGTTCCCCATCCCCCTCTCCCCTTAGTCCCTAGTAACCTCTAATCTTCTTTCTGTCTCTGTCTGTTTGCTTATTCTAGATATTCCATAAAAGTGGACTCATGCAGTATTTGTTCTTTTGTGTCTGGCGTATTTCACTCAGCATAATGCTTTTAAGGATCATCCATTAGTAGTATGTGTGAGAACTTCATTTCTTTTTATGGCTAAGTCATATTCTATTATATGGATATACCACATTTTGTTTATCCAGTCATCCATTGATGGATATATATTATTGTTCTTATGAAATTAAAAAAAAAATGTGTGTGTTTCATTAATTTATTCAGTAAAATATTTCTCAAGTGCTTACAATTGTTCAAAACCTTTTGACTTAATTCTGTAAATTAGAATTTAAAAGTAGATGATCTAAAGGGTGGGGTGTGGAAGGGACAAACATAATCCAGATTATTTAGATGTATTTGTTTTTAATTTTTAAGTTCTAAGAATAGCCGTAGCCAGGAACATGTCTGTGGCTGAAGGAAAGGAACTGGACCTGTCCTGCAACATCACAACAGACCGAATGGATGACATCCGGCCCGAGGTGACGTGGTACTTCAGCAGGACACCAGACAGCACTTTGCCTGGCTCCCACGTGTTGGCACGAATGGACCGTGGTTCCCTGGTGCACAGCTCTCCTCACATTGCTTTGAGTCACGTGGATGCACGCTTCTACCATTTACTGGTCCGGGATGTTAGCAAAGAAAACTCCGGCTATTATTTCTGCCACGTGGCACTCTGGGTACCCGGACACAACAGGAGCTGGCACAAGGTGGCTGAGGCCATGTCTGCCCCTGCTGGTGTGGATGTGACCTGGCTAGGTGAGTGGTGTAGAGAATGACTCTTTGCCCCTCTGGCTTAATCCCTTCACTGGAGTATCTGGAGGAGTCCGGGTGCTGTACGTTTTTTTATTATTCTGGCATTCTTTATGTCGGTATGGTATACTTTAGCCTGGATAGATCCCAAGCTGGGGATGGAGGCAAAACTGGCTGAAATAGAATCTGGCAGGCAAAGGAAATGTTTAGATAATGTGGCTTCAGTTGTCTCAATACCCTAACTTGAGAGAATATCGTTTCCTTTTGTTGTCAAGAGATTTACAGGGTAGGAGCCCTGCTAAATGGCTCTGTGAAATGGATCTTTGTTGGAGGGTGAATGCTGCCGTTCTTCCTTTCCTTTTCCTAGACTTCTAGGTGCTCTCGAGCAGTAGCTGGTGCTTTTCCAAAGCCTGATGCAGAGGGAGAATTCCTTCCGTTAACAGAGAGCATTTTTTCCACTGAATGCCCTGGAACCCAAAAGTGACTTTATTTGCAGTTACCGGCTAAATGTGGGTGCCTTCCTGCTTTTCTGCTGGGCTGTCTCACCCCAGCTGCAGTTCCACAGGTGGAGGAGCAAAATGGGTCTCGGATGTTGACCACCTTGCCATCCATTTTATAACAACTTACCCTCTATCTGAAGGTCATTGTCATATCCCACTCTGTTCTACCATTCTCATTTTCCCCATCTGTTTTTTTCCTAGATGTTTGCCCTTTGGGCAAAAGTTACTCTGATTTTCCCAAATTTTGGTTACTATCTTGTAATTGCAAGTAAACTTAAGAAGGCTGGGGTCAAAGGGGTTGTGGAGTGCTTTGCTTCCCGTCTCCACTATTACAAAGTTGGGGAAGGCCTACCAGTCAAATTCTTTCCTGATTTGAGCTAATCTGTCTATTCTTCCGCGAGTGTTTTCAGCCCTGATGAAGGCATTCTGTACTGTTGTGGTTGTTGTTAGCTGCTGTGGAGTTGGCCCCTGACTCATGGCAACCACACACAGCAGAACTAAACACTGCCTGATTCTGCGCCATCCCCATGATCATTTGCAGATTAGACTGTTGTGCTCCATACGGTTTTCACTGGCTGATTTTTAGAAGTAGATCGCTAGGCCTTTCTTCTTAGGGGTCTTAATCTGGAAGCTGTGCCGAAACCTGTTCAGCATCTTAGCAACATGGCAAGCCACCACTGACAAATGAATGGTGGCCATACATGAGGTGCATTGGCCAAGAATCAAACCCAGGTCTCCCACGTGGAAAGCAAGAATTCTGCCACTGAACCACCACTGCCTCGTATTGTTGTAATTATTAGGAGGTAAAACAGATCTTAAGGGGCCCTGGCGGTGCATTGGTTAAGCGCTTGTCTGCTAATGTCGGTGGTTTGAACCCACAGGCAACTCTGCAGGAGAAAGATGTGGCAGTCTGCTCCTGTAAAGATTACAGCCTTGGAAACCCTAGGGGGCAATTCTACCCTGTTCTATAAGGTTACTATGAGTCGGAGCCGGAATCGACTTGACAGCACACAGTAACAAGAAAACAGATCTTTACAGGCCAGGAAATAATTTGCTCCTTCATCTGATGGTAAGCATCCTCCTGCCCTGATCCCCAACTCTTACTTAGCTTGTCCTTATCTCTGCATTGAAACTTTCTCTTTAGTTAGTGGCATTCCCACTGTCTGTTTCTTTTTAACTCTTTAGTTACTATTGGGTTAAGGATATACCAGCCACGTTTTATGCCTCTGGACCTAGTAGATAGTATATTATTCTAGTTCTAATACGTTTAACATTAAGGGGGTCCCTTTTGAAATGTGTGGAGCTCAGCAGACTGGACATGGAGTCTCATTGTTGTGTAGGTGGAGCATTCTATTAGGTGGTGCTTTCTGGATGTGTTAGTTTTGTAAACTTTTAAAACTTTTTTGCCTTTTTTCCCTTTATTTCTGTGAGATAAGGCTTGCAAGCATAATTGTGGCTTTCCTGTGTGATAGTTAGGGAGTCCTGATGGATTTGTTTGGGTTTTTCTATGTCATGTTTGGAAAACCAGAGGTTCCCCATGTAACCTAATGAAAAGGCGCCTGTAATAAATTCTCTATTTAGTTCTTATTGGTATATTGTCATACCACAGATTGGTGGTGCCACAGTGCCACTTGTCTTATTGGTGGCTTGTATTACCAGATCATATTTCTCAAAATCCATATTACCAACCAAAAATTTGAACACACTCAATTAGTTAAGCATGCATTCCAAGACTGAAAACACATGCCATCAAAAAAAATTTTTTTTTAAATAAAAATTTAGTAACAAAAGGGTTTTAATAAGCCTTTATTCAACAAGGATGGGGAGTTGGCAAGTGGGAAGAGGGGGGCAGGGGGAGGAAGAGTAACAAGAGAGTAAGGAGATGGTACAGTCCAATCCACATTGAACCTAGGCAGGCTGTTAGTCAAGGCGCCCTGGTGGCGCAGTGGTTAAGCACTTGGCTGTTAACGGAAAAGTTGGTGGTTCAAACCCACCAGCTGCTCTACAGGAGAAGGATGTGGCAGTCTGCTTCTGTAAAGACTTACAGCCTTGGAAACCCTATGTGGCAGTTCTACCCAGTCCTATAGGGTCGCTATGAGTAGGAATTGATTCGAAGGCGCACAATAACAACAGGGTGTTAGTCATCCCCATTAGCAAAGTGATTCTTTGATATCTGAAAAGTGAAAGGAGCAGGGTTTATCTGGCAAGCTTTTCTTCCTGCTGCCTGAACTCTGCAAGAGACAGAGACTGAACTGGAACAATGTTGGCCCAGCTAGAACTCTCCTTAGCAACCTTCAAAATAAAACAGATGTTGTCAGCACCAAAAGAAGATTTTTCATCTCTGGAGCTGAATTTGTTTCACAGCTCTGATCCTCAGTACGTCGTGTGGGGCTGTGAAGTCCCAGCGTGGACTCTTTGTGCTTCCTTCCCCCACAGCTTCTGAATCTGAACTTGAGCATTTTTTTTTTTTAGAAAGTGCTGCCTGCACTCCAATTCAAGGGCCTCTTTGAAGTACTAATGCATTGATCCTGGCATACCCAGGGGGAGATGCAGGCCCTGTCAGAAAACAGGAGGGGTGCTCCTGGGAAGGAATGGACTCTTTTTAACTGGGAGGGATTTGTGGGTGGCTGTGCTCTCGAGAGAGTGAAGAAGAAACAGATGAAATTGTGGGAAAGGTTCAGTTATTATCCCAAGGATCTTGTCGTTCGTTTTTCTGCAGAGTTGGGAAAGTCATCCCTAATTAATGTTAAAGTATATATAGCTGCGACCTTGCACAGTGTTTTGCATATAATGGGCACTTTATAAATACTGGTTGAATGGATAAATAAGCCAGTACCAAAACATGGTTTATGTTAAAATATGTGCATAGAAAAATAAGACTTGCAAAGAAAGCAATCATGCTCCGCTCAGGTTATTCACAGATATTCTCACATGAGCAAACCTACTGGGAGTGGAAGTGGTATCAAAAGCAACTGCATTCTTCTTTCTTCCTCTCTTAAACCTGCCCCTCCTTTGCTGTGCCTATGACTCACACTATTACAGCTGCTTGGACAGTTGTCAGGAGGCGAGTTGGGCACGAGTTCAGGAGCAGATCTTTCTCAGGACCTCCTCAAGTGGATTGTCTGCCCAGAAATCTATGGGGCTGGTCTGAACTATGAGGTTATCTCTACATATGTAATATGTGTATATAGTCCTATGTGGATGCCATACCAAGTACAGCTTGGGGCTGAACCTGTTTGAGGTAACTGAGAAGTAGCCAAAACAGACAGGAAGACAGGTGACATGCCCAATAGTCTATTTACACAGGTCATCTTATTATTTATGAGTATGGAATGTTGACACAGAAGAGTTCTTAAGAAAGCTGATTCCTCATTCAGGCATTACACAAAACTCTCAACTACTTTACAGATGAAGAACAGTAATTACCATTTATTGAGTGCTTAATGTGTGCCAAGCACTGGGCTAAGGGCTTTACATGCATTATCTCTTTTAATCCGCACAACAACTTTGAGAGAGACAGGTACTGCCACTATCTCCATCTAAAAACAGCTAATTTTAAAAAAATAGTTTTGCTTATAATTTTCAGGGTCAGGAATTAGGGAAAGACTCAACTGGTGTTCATCTCTGATCCACATGGCGCCAGCTAGGGCAGTTGGGGCTGCGGATCCACTTCCAAGATGGCTTCTTCACACGTGTAACCTCTGTGTTTCTGGGCTTCTCTCTCTCTCCACATGGTGTCTTATCCTTCAGGGCCTCACCA